AAACGAGTTGATGGCGATTACAAAGCAAGAGCAAATGCTAGTCGAAATATTTCCATAAAAATTTGTTGGAACAAGTTTTTTCTTTTAATTATGCAACTACCAACGGTGACAAGCATCCTAACTTTGATAATCAATTCCTGATTTTTTTTAATTATTCTATTTCCTTAATAATGTTTTTCTCGTATTCTCTCTGTTGTGGTAAGAGCCAGTTACCCTACTTAATATCATGAAGGAATTGATCCATTCATGATAAATATTCCTAGGTAATTGTCTAAGAGTAAGAAGATAATACTATTGCAATGACTTGTCTAGCTGAGTTTTGAATAATATAATCCCGACTGACACCGTCGAGTCAAGTGTTGTGTCTTGCCAGACCCTATATCACAACTGTTACAATCACTAACTCTTTGCGTCTAAGTGTGTACACTACACTGATTCGTCGTTATTCCTTATTGCATAGGGAGTCACTGCTTTCGTGGTCATCTCTTCATCAACCCAACGGCATCATCTCCGTAAATATTGTATATAAATACAATTATGGCACAAGGCCGAAAGGAGGGAATTTGTTGAGGCTGGTCTTCACTGACTATCTTATACCTAGCTAATCCGATTCACGACCCATTCACTCATTACAAGCTGCACATTCACCACAAGAACTCATCCGTCACCAATCAATTCTCCATATACTATAATACCGTATACTCTCTGAGGGACCTAAAAAAACGCACATCTTGATATAAAAATTTGATGATCATAAAAATTTCGTACATAAAAATCTAATGATTTGCAATGAGAAGGGAGGGGATGAACCCATCATCTCTATATTCACCAGTATTATTTTCATCATCATCATATTTATAATTATGACATCATTACAGTTCGATGGCCAATCGACGAAGAAAATTACTTAACAAATTCTTTGAAAAAGAAAATTATCAAACTTTATTTAGGCATTCGGAGAATGTGCGTTTACATTGGCATAAAAATGATGGCATGTCGGTATTCGATCGTGTCGAGGTTGATATGATTATCGATTGAGCACACCGAAAATGAAGTTACCAGAATCGCCTGATATGATCGTACCCTAATCTCTCTCTCTCGCTCTCTCTCTCTCTCGCTCTCTCTCTCTCTCTCGCTCTCCCTTTCTCTTTCGTCCCCTTAAGGTAAATATGGAGATTTATTTAGGTAACTTCTGTTTTTTTTACACAGAATTAAATTGTATTAAAATATTGTTAAGCTTTCAAATATTAAATTTAAAAACTCTCAAAGCTTCAAATTTAAATTTTTCAAATTTAGAATTGAACAGCGACCTAAAATATTCTTAAATATTCTAAAATATTGAACGTACCAAATCACCTGGACATGCACAAAACTCTCTCTCTCTCTCTCTCTCTCTATATATATATATATATATATATATATATATATATATATATATATGTATATGGTATAAAATTAGAATTGGAAAAAAATCTTAGATTTTGCCGACGCGATTCGTCTTCCGACTTTGTCAAGGCAAAAATGAAATCAAAATGTTTTTGCTGTTATAGATACATTCAAAAATCCAAATTTAAAAAGATAGACGCTTCTGTCTAAGCTTTTCTTTCTGGTTAATCTTGTCCACAAAATTGATCTGGGAATTTAACTATATTGTCGACATGGAAAAAAATCCCTTACTATAAAGGTAATATACATTAACCAGAAAAAAAAACCGCTTAGACAGAAGCGTCTATCTTTTTAAATTTGAATTTTTTAATGTAACTATAACAACAAAAGCATTTCGTTTTCATTTTTACCTTGAAAAAGTCGCAAGACGAAACGCGTTGGCAAAATCTAAGATTTTTTTTCCAATTTTCATTTTATACCAATCTGTCTTGTCTACAGAATTGGTCTGGGAATTTAACTATATATATAGATGCAAACGCAAACATACACATACATATACACACGCATATTCATATATACACAGAGAAAGAGAGAGAGAGAGAGAGAGAGAGAGAGAGAGTGAGAGAGATAGTGAGAGATAGTGAGAGAGGAAGAGAATTAATACAAATTTGTCACTTTGCTGATTGATGGAACCTTCTGCATCCCGACTCCAGAATTTCGTAGACGGACATTTCAAGAATCAATCCCTTCACTCGTCAGGAGGTATCAGTAATTGCCTGGTTATACTTTTCGATTTTTCTTTTATATATCCATTTTCATTGGTGGAATGTTGATTTTTTTTCATAGTGTAAATGTGCGTGGATTCGTGCGTAGACACGATTTATATAAAAAGAAAATTTTTTCTTTACCATTGCGTTTCGTCCGCTGAGGAACTTTTTTTCATTACAAATGTGGAAAATTTATTTTGTTATCTTCATTTATGCAAAAAGTAACACTGAGGAAAAAATATATAATAAATTTTCAGATTTTTAATCGAGAAGGTTTTAAAATATTCTTAAAGCTTGCTGCGTATGGAAAGATAAATTATGGAGGACGCTAAGTGATTTAATTTATTGTTTAATAAATGAAAGGCAGTAAATTGTCATTGTTCCTATGCACAGAAATAAATTCAACCACAAAATTGATCTCAGGAATTCTATACTTATTAAACGGGAAATGTTCTTATGGGTGTAATTGTAGATTGTTGCCAAAATGTTAACTTACGTTATGGACTTTTACAAATGTTTTCTTTCTTAAATAAAATACTCATTACTCAAGCCAATGAGAATGGCAATAAAAATGTAAAAAATAAAAGAAAACGGTTAATTAAATTCCTTTAAACATTTAAACTAAATAAATTAATGCATAAATAATAAATAAAATAAAATACAAATAAAATACAAATAATTACATTAAAACTTCAACAACATTTACTTCGAAATAAACCTCCTGAGTCAGCTTCCCCCGTTGTAGGAGTTTGGTCTGGCGTCCATTAGGCTGCTCGGTCACAGAGACTGTCACAGCACAGCAATATTCTATCTACCCTTTTCAGGAATGTCCTAGTTCAGATATCTGGTCTGTTTTCTCCTGCTATATATTTAGAGATTATAAAATGGTAATATCAAAGAAGGAACTGCGAGATTATAGGTCCTGGTCTAGAATTTCGGCTTCCGTCACTTTCACTGTCGTAACGTAGCTTCCATGTGTCTTTTCTATAAATACTTTCATTGTAATTGTTCTGATGAACTTTCCGCTATGGAGATTTTGAGGTATTATGGTGACTGTTGTAAGAATGGTAACTAAGAAGGTGTTGTTATGGTGTAAAGAATACTGTCGTATATTTGGGTCAGAAATCGTGGCTAGCTAAGATTAAGATAGATTGAAGACCAGCCTCTACCTATCCCTCCTTTGGGCCTTGTGCCACATTTTGGTATTATTCAAAATAAATATCACTTTTCGCTATGGTACCTAGAATTTATGAATTTAAGCGCAGTACTAGATTGGCGACAAGGTCTCATCGTGTTACAATTGAAAAGGCTAGATGTAACCGTAAATTCTATGCTAATAGTATCTTAAGTCGAATTACTTGTGGAACACTCTTGCGGTTTCTTGCTTCCCAATAAACTTTGATCCTGAAAAAAGTAAATGCAAAGTCAATCGTTATCGCGTGTCTTCTAAATTCTTATTCTTTTGTGGGCCTCTCTCCTAAATAGTTTTCACATATTCTCTAACACTCAGTAATCTCTTGCGTCCTAGTGGCTTTATTGCCTTGTTTTGGGTTTGAATTGATTAATAAAAAAATCTTCTCCATTTAGTATCCGAAACAAAGCAATTTCTAAAGAATTAATAATTTTATTTTTAAACTTGACGCTGTTTATTAATTTAAGCGTTATTTTTAGTAGCTAACCATGATTGCAATAAACTAACATTTTTTTTTTTAAATTAATAACTGTGTATATGGCATCTACCAGCTTGCACGCTCCAGAAAACTTAATGAAGAAAATCCCCAAAGATGCGTCCCTATATCGAGGGGTTGATAAACCGTAAAACAAAACAGACTATTTGTAGGAAAAACTACTGTCTGAACTGTATGCTTTAGACCACTCGGCACATTTATATTTTAAGATCATATCTATGTTGTATTTGAAAGCTAACTTATTTGTCGTCAAAGCAAACGAACAGATTTTTCAAATCGTAATACTGTTTAAATATTGCAATGAAATAATTTCTAAGCTCAAATAATATACATTCATCAGTAGAAAGAGAGACAAGCTATTGGAAAATGACAGCAAAGGAGTAAGAAAGACAAAAATAGAGGGAAAAAGACAGTGAAAAAGAACCGAAAACGAGGATATGTTGGTGAGAACGTGTAATGAGAATGTGAACAAATCATTAACGCAAAGAGAAATGTTAAAAAAATGAAGGATAAACTCTTGGAAAAGAAAATGAATGAAAACAAAGCAAAGGCTGTAGAAACGAATGCGATTATTTTATAATTTAATTACACTGTAATTTTGTATCAGTTACCATAGTGGTCTCTCTCTCTTTCCTTTTCTCTCTCTCTCTCACACACACACGCGCTCACACAGAGACACGATACGCACACACACCAACAACGCGGTAATGATGGGCGATTGGTTGTCAAACCCGACAAGAAAAATGCTCGACGCAACGTAGACGCCCGACTACTTCGGGAAACGAAGAAGATTTTATTTTACACTGATATTTGTCAATGGCGAATTCGGGTGTGTGGAGAAATATCAAGAAATAGACGAAATTATTTTCCCTTTCTCTTTTACATTTTTTTTTTTAATATGAACAGAACGTTCCCGTCGTAGACGGGAAAAAAAATTAGTGAAAGAAAGACCTAAGGGGCTAGTGCTAACTCCCTTTTTATTGTCTTGATAACTATCGGTAATTAGGTGAGAGGTGCAGAGAAGCCGATGGAGATGTGGTTGAAGGGTGCCTGGGATGGTTAGTGGAGCATAAGAGACATTCTGGTCGCTGGCGTGGGACGGTGATATTATTTTCCCGTGGCGGGACACGGGCGATAACTACTTTAATAATCCCATTTAATGCTCGCCGACAATTTTCTGGCTGCATCAGTTCATTTCGCGTCGTTTGTCTCTTCATATCATTTGATATTTCTTTGTAATTTTTCGAGTGTTACCAGTGTCAAACTTGTTAGTTCACTCTTATCGCTTTCATTAATGTAATACAATTTTCGTTTTTTTTTTATTGTTACTTTTTTTCATTTCTTTTTTTTAATTCTCAGTCGACATTTTTCAAGAAGTATTTATTTATTTATTTTTAATGATCCTGCTTTCTTTTTCTCTCTTTCTTTCGAATTTATTTAGTATTTCTCATTTCTGTCATTTTCTTCATATTCTGTCTTCTTCAAGTCATTCTTTTCTTTGTTCCTGGTTTTCTCTTGGGTTTGGCATTTTCCTGAAAACATTTTCATTCTCATTCGTTTATCGTTAAATTCGTTTCCTCGTTCCTTGACCAACCTTCACTCTTCCAGTCTCCATAGCGTCTATCTCCGCGTCCATGTGGGTGACCATTTTTTTTTCACCATCCAGACCCTTTCTCGCAGACGAAACGTTGCAAGCCTTTCGCTACTCTATCGCTATTTCCATTGAAAGTGTCCAGACAAACTACACTCCTTAGGACCCTCCCGTTTCTTTTCGACGTATGTGGATCCAGCAGTTCAGTCCTTAGAACCAAATAACCAGACGACCCGGAAATATGATTTGATTTTAGTGGTGAAGACATGCGCAGAACCAACCACACTTATTGGAAGAACCGAACACAGAGAACCGCTGCACATCATGTCGCAAGGTCCCCAAACGTCTCTCCTCAGGTTATGAATTTGAGATGTCCTTCTCCTAGACCGATTACCATCCAAGGCTTTAGGACCTGGTCTGCCTTGGTATTTACCCAGAGTGGGGTAGGCGAGATGAATTAATACCGTTCCCAAGAGTATTAGCTCGTAAGCGAATGCAATGAATTTAGCTGGATTTCGAACTCGGCACTCCAATTTTCTCAATCCGCTATCCACTATTCCAACGTGCCTTTACGGTTAAGACTCGCCATGCTACGCACATTGCAGCGAACTGCCATCATTCCTTTCTATTCCATTAGTGGGATATAAGTTTATTCCACTGCTTTCTGGATGCTTTTCTGATCACTTCAATCTTAATATGTTCAAGTCTCGAGTTAACTTTTATCTTCCACACATATCCTCATAAACTGTGCTTCTCTACTCAAGTGAACACCAGTGTAAAATAAATTGCCATCTTGTCTTTTACTTTCTTCTTTCTCACATTTTTTTTTCCTTTTTTGTCTTTGCATTTTTCGTCTTCCCTTTGCTAGTTAATTAGTTTCGCTTTTATCCTTTATGTTATCAGAGTTACGGTCATTGAAGTACTGGTTTCGTACGATCACCAAAGTTAAGCAACGTCGATCCTGGTTAGTACCTAGATAGGTGACCGCTTGGAAATACTGGCTGCTGTAAGATTGATGGTGCAATGGATAATTGCTCCGAATTCCAATTCCAATTCACTTATGGGCAAATACGCTTGGGAAAGGTATGACTCCACCTCTTCTCTCCCCAAATATGGGTTAATTAGTAAGACATGTATCGCTAAACCATTATTATCTCACCCTTATCTCTTACAATCTAAAATATTTGATGGCTTTAAATCACTTGCAAAAGACTGATAAGCTGTAAAAAAAATCAATTTATGTTATCATTGTAGCACATCTTCTCTTTTTTTCATTCTTTCCTTCTTTCTTTCTTTCTTTCTTTCTTTCTTTCTTTTATATCTCTTTGCATTTTTCGTTTTTGATTCGTTATTTCATTATATTTTCTTTCTCTATACAGTCCTTTTTGTATTCTATTTTCTACATTTTTCTTTCTTCTTCCGTCTTTCTTTTCCCTTCTTTCTTTCTTTCTTTCTTTCTTTCTTTCTTTCTTTCTTTCTTTCTTTCTTTCTTTCTTCTCCCACTCATTCGTTATACTATTTCTCTTTGCATCTCATCTTTGTTTCGTTGTGTTTGTCAGTTCTTTCTTTCGATCTCAGAGTTACACTATCCTTAAATAATATTTCTTTCTTTCTTTCTTTCTTTCTTTCTTTCTTTCTTTCTTTAATTAATATATTTATTTCTTATTTCAAATTTCTGTTTCTCTTTGTATCTTTTTTCTTTGTTTCTTTAAACTATTTCTATTTGCCTGTATTGTCTTTCTCTCTGTAATTATTTCATTCTCACTATATAATATGCTTGTAGCATCCCCTTCTTTCTTTTTCTTTCTTTCTTTCTTTCTTTTTTACTTCTTTTTTCTTTGTCATTTTTATTTCTTTCCTTCTTCCGTTCTTTTTTGCTTCCTTAATTTGCTTTTTCTTTCTTTCTTTCGTTCATTATTTATTTTGTTTTTTCTTTCTTTTTCTTTTCGTTTTGCTTTCCTTCTTTTTCTTTCTTTACTTTTTCTTTCTATTTCGTTTCTTTCTTTTTTCATTCTTTCTTTCACTTTTGTATATTTCATACTTCTCTTATTTTTGCCCGATTATTAATTCACATCTTGTTTTTCAGACTTCATTTTCAAATTAAATGTTTTCTTTCCCATCCTTCTCTTTTTAATTTAATTTTTATTTTTTTCTATTCCCCATTTATTTATTTATTTTTGCATAATTATTTTTTTTTTTTTTTTTTAAATATTTCATATATTATTCTTCATTTTATACTTATCATTTCATTAAGTCGTTTCATTTCTTTTCCTTTATTCATTTTTTCTTTTTTTTTTTCGTTCTGAGATATTTGTGTGCATGTTTTTATATCAGTTATTATTCGATTTTTTCTTTGTTATATCATTCATTCCTACGTTCTTTTTTCACTTCCTTCCTTCTTAATTCTCATTTTTCTGCCTATTTACTATAGTCTTAATTTTGTTTGTTTCATTTTCATCTCATTCCTTCCTTAATATTAACAATTCATACGCCATCTTATTTCCTGTTTTCTCTCTCTCATACTTACACCTTTGTTGTTTCTTTCTTTTTATTTTCGTCGCCATTTTCTTCCCAATCACGCTTTCTTTCGGAATCTGTCCTTCGGTTCAAATACTGAGATTTTCTTCTCTGAACTATTTATCCATCCCTCCTTCCTAAACTGTTTCGATTCTCTTCGTATCCTATTCATTTCTTGTCCGGTTATTAATTCATACGTGTTTTTCTTCTTCTTGTCAATCTCATTTGCAGCGTCCCACCCTTCATTATCCCGTTCGGCTTATTTTTTGTGCGTCCCATTTCCACATGGCGGCCTTCCATTAATCCTAATTTCATTATCTACAATAATTTCATATTCTTTCCAACTAAAATATTTTTTGTTTCTTTTTTCGATTTTTCTCTTTATTTCCACACAGCTCAGATGCATTCACACGTCTTATCAGACTTTCTTCGTTCTCGTCCTTTGCCCATCTTTGCAAAATATCTTGATTTTTATGCAAATCTTATTGGTCAACAGGTAATCATTAGTAGGACTGAAATCCGAATAATCGAAACGAGTTCGAAAGCAGACAGAACCAGTTTACTTCCAATTTACTAGAATGGCTCTCACAGAAAGCCGAATCTGCTTATATTCCATTGATACTGGCATGCATAAATACGGTGAATCTAATTCTAAATTATTTTCAAATTAAAATAAAAAATAATAATTAGAATTATTAAATTTTAAATTATTTAAATTTATTCTAAATTATTATCAATTTATAATAAATTATTATAAATTTATTTGTTTTAAATTAATTATTAAATATATATTAAATTTATTAAAAATTATTATAAATTTATTATTCAGTGATAATAAATTTATTATAAATTATTTAAATTATTTAATTATTTAAATAATTTATTTTAATTAGTTATAAATTTTAAAATAAAAATTTAAATCAAAATCAAAATTAAAAATTAAATTTAGAAATTAAAAATTAAATTTAAAAATTAGAATTAAATAATTTCTAAATCATTTTAAATTAATGTTTTAATTTAAAAATAAATTCATGCATAACTACGTACGTTTAGTGTTTAGCACTTCGATGTGGTGTAGTGATTAACAAGCTTGTCTCGTTTGACCAATTATGACTGAATAATGAGTTGATCCTCATTGGGGACACCATACTTTCGTCTTTCAGCAACATATAAACTAAGCTTTGAAATCGCTATACCTACGTATAGATAAATAAGAAGAATCGGTTATATATAAAGCATATATATATATATATATATATATATATATATATGTATATTAAGCGTTTCACCCCAAGCAAGGCGGGAAGCCACTAGGACGCAAGGGGTTACAGAAAATAGCAAGATCAGATCGGAGTGATAGAAGAAAGGATGGGGGTAGTGGATAGATTAAGGCAACTGGAGATATCGATTGACATTACATTTGAATAGCTGGAGATTATAGCTCACAGGGAAACAGGAGAAGGGAAGGGAGTTCCACAGGCGAGAGGTGCGAGATATGAAGCTATTAGAGTAGAAGAGACAGCTACATTTAGGAGTTTCGACAGTGAAGGGGTGAGAGCGGGATGCCAGCCTCGTAGGGCGCTGGAACCCATGACGTCTGGGAACCAGCGAATGCAGCTCCTCGGAGCAATTTCCATGAAAATATTTGTAGAACAGACAGAGGAGGCGACGGCGCGTCTGTGAGAAAGTGACTGTAGACGAGATGCCAGAGCAGGGCCAACCAAATTGCATATCCGCCTCTGGAGCCTATCAAGGACCCCGAGGAAAACAGAAGGGATCCAGATCATATATGGCAGCAATAATCCATGCAAGGGCGAATTGTTGATTTGTAGATCTGGAGGATCGACTCAGGGGAAAAAACTTCCAAGCGCGGCCCCGGGAGCCAACTTTTCTCGCAGTGGACGAGGCAATATATATATATATATATATATATATATATATATATATATATATATAGCTGGACATTTTCAGAATACGCGTCTACTAGCTCGACTAACCAATCTCTATTGCAGACGATCGCTCAGACACTTTTGCTCAAAACTCACAGAGCCCACCAGATGTGGTTTATTCTGCAACTATTCTGAGCAGACCTTAGTTACAGTTTCTGGGAGAGCTTGATCAACAATATAAACAAGGCCAGAACACTTAAGTCCTCGGTCACAATGACTTATGGCTTTGTGCTAGCACAGCTAATGGACAGCCCCTAAGAATTCCGGTTACCCAATTTCACTCACAAGAATTGGGTATATATATATATGTGAAAAGTGTATATGTATATATATATATATATATATATATATATATATATATATAATTATTTATATATTATATGCGCGGTACTTATTAGAAAGCGCTCAATATCAGAGATAGAGCTAACATATTTGGTTGGATAGATGTGAGTTTGTGACCCTGGGTTTCACGCTTTAGCGATCGTCAGACAAACTGATTAATGTTTTAAAAAATTTGGGTTTATGTAGATTGCGTGTATTGGTGTTATTGTGGAAGTGGTGGGGAAAATTTCGTCGTTGTGTCATCGTGCTAACGCAAAAATCGATGTATGTATACATGTATACATACATATGTCATATCCGAAACTGTCTACATATGTTTATATATGTATGAGTCCCGACGGACGACCAAGTATGTATATGTGTCCGGATTCTAAATGCTAATACACGCCATGCTGGTCCCTTTGAATTAGAAGTTTCTATCAAATAATCATCTTTCCATCATTACGTTTACAATATTCAACCTTAACCAACACAAAGCTAAGCTTGGATACTATTGTGGTGTCCTCCCTCTAAAGAGTCTATATCGGACTCTTCCGCCTACTATAAGATTAGTAGGAGAGAAGGTCTTGGGGGAACAGTCGACCAGACTGTTCACTGTCGCACTCTCTGCCACAGCAGAGAGGAACTCGGACGAAACTTTGCCCTGCAGCAAAGTTTCGTCCGAGGAGGTAGACAGTCCCTGAACCCGTCTAGGCGGGTTCAAAGGGAATATTTTTGGCTGAGCCTACGGGCTCAGAGAAACCGACATTAAACTCGGCCTTGTGCTACATACATTACTTGTGGTGGTGGTGGGTGGGGGGCTGTTAAATATAACAGTCGACCGGACTATTCATTTCTGTCGAACTCTCGAACGAAGATTTGCCGCAGGGCAAAGTTTCGTACAGGGAGGTAGACAGTCCCTGAACTCGTTTAGGCGGGTTCAAAGGGAATATTTTTTTTGGCCGAGCCTAAGGGTTCGGAGAACCCAGGGTACGCTCGGCCTTGTGCCTCATATATCCCACGTGGTGGGGGCGCTGTTAAATATTAACAATCGAATAGATTGTTCTACCGGCCTGTGACTTTTGGCAGCTGCTGTCTAACTCTCTGCCTTTGGTCGTAGAGGAACCCGGATGAGGCTTTGCCGAAGTGCAACGTTTCGTCCGGGGAGATAGACAGACCCTGAACCAGTTTATGCGGTTTTCTAAGGGAATTTTTTGGCCGAGCATACGGACTCGGAGAACCCACGGTAAACATGTCCTTGTGCCACATACAACCATCGGGGTGGGGTGTTAAATATTAACTGTCGAATAGAATGTTGATTACTGTCGAACTCTATGCCTTGAGCAGAGAGGAACCCGGACGAGGCTTTGCCGAAGGACAAAGTTTCGTCCCGGGAGGTAGACAGGCCTGGAATCTGTTTATGCGGGTTCTACAGGAATATTTTTGGCCGAGCCTACGGCTCGGAGAACCCGCGGTAAACTTGGCCATGTGCCAAATACATCTCTCGCGGGCGAGGGGGACGCTGTTAAATATTAACAGTCGAATGGATTGTTCTACCGGGCTGTGACTTTTCGCAGCTGCTGTCTAACTCTCTACCTTTGGGCAGAGAGGAACCCGGATGAGTCTTTGCAAATTTTCTTCTGGGGAGGTAGACAGGCCCGGAACCCGTTTATGTGGTTCTACGGGAATACATTTGGCCGAGCCTTCGGGCTCGGAGAACCCACAGTAAACTCGGCCTTGTGCCACATACATCCCTCGTGGGGAGGGCTGTTGAATATTAACAGTCCAATAGATCTGTTGCAACACTTTTTTGTTATTTCTTTAACCATTTACTTGGTCAAAACAGATATGGAGATACAGTGTAACCCGGATGTAAGAGACCCGGATATAAGAGAAACCCGGATATATGAAAGTTTTTCTCTGGTCCCAAATTAGAGCCTGTGTTAATGTATATAAAATAGACCAAACCCGGATATAAGAGAAACCCGGATATAAGAGAGATTTTCTCTGGTCCCAAATTAGAGCCTGTGTTAATGTATATAAAATAGACCAAACCCGGATATAAGAGAAACCCGGATATAAGAGAGATTTTCTCTAGTCCCAAATTAGAGCCTGTGTTAATGTATATAAAATAGACAGCTCTCTTATATCCGGGTTACACTGTACATGACTTTCCGTGGAAAACAAATATCTTAAATTATAATTTTAATTATATCGACAGCTACGTAATAATATAATCATTGTAATAAAATCTAGATGTTGGATTGAGGATAAAAAGATAAAAAGAAAAGAGGAACTCTGTAGAACTCTGTAGCCTGTATTGTTCTCAGAACATAAACACTGGCCGTTAATGGAAGTGATAGCAGTCAGCCGTAACATGTCGCGATTTTATAAAAACCCGTTACCGGATGTGTTCCGATCATAAACTGCGAATATTTTTTTTATATTGAAGTGTAATTAATTTTTAGGAGGCAGAGAATAGGATGGTTGTTTGACTTGGGATTTTACTACATAACAATTCATGTTAGGTTGTTTAATGTCGAAATATGGATTTTTAGATATGCTTGAGTCTACCAATAAACGTCGGCGGCGTTTATATATATATATATATATATATATATATATATATATATATATATATATAAAAGTGAACATAGAATGATTCATAATCACACACACACATATATATTTATATAGAAATGTATAAAATATATATATATATATATATGTATATAAATAAAAAAAGAAAGAACAGTAAGATATATATATATATATTCCTATATATATATATATATATATATATATATATATATATATATATATATATATATATATATATATATATATATATATATATATTTATATATATAT